CAGGCTTTTATGATGCGTTCAGATTATTTCTAATGTATAGTGTGGAAGTGTGCAAAAGAGCGGTAAAACGTGATCTCAGATAATGTTGTCATATTACATTTCACAGACAACTGTCACAACCTCACAACTTATCACAGAATTTTTATTGTTCCAATGCAGATTCTAGAGTAACTCTCAAATATATTGTCTGAGATCCGCCTTTTCATTTTGTCTGAAAATTTAAGGAATCAACTTTGCAGTTCACTGCATAGTTACTAGTTAACAGTGTATAAATTGCAGTTACAAATGATAAGGCAGATTGCCTTCGTCAATCAATTTGCATCATCCGCTATAACAGACGATTTTATTACTACTCTAAGCGTTTTCCTTCTTTTATGTGGTGACTTGAACTAGAAACAACTGCTACCTAATTACTGCATATTTCACTTTCCAGTTGATTGAGATTTTATCAGTTTTGTTTAGTAAACATCAGCGTTTATTTACGACAAAAATTCTGTGAAATTCAAACAAAAACATTGTCTCGCAATCACTTACACAATGAGATTAGGTTTCTTCACTGATCTTGTCACCTTCTCGTGTTCATTTACTTGACGCCGAGCATACAGTCAACATTCCTCATACTTTTAAGATTATTAGCAGACAAAGAAGTACGACTGTTGTCCGTTTCGCTGAAACCATTGCGGTAAGAAAACTTAAACCGGATCTATGTATTCAACTTATTACTACTCTGGTAATCCAATTTTTTTCTTGTGTATATGTTGTTTTCGGTTATTAGTTTTATTTAGTTAATATTTAGCTTGTGTCATATTCCTCCCCCCTATTACCAAATTCTTAAATCACCCTTTCATTCATACATTTCCACTCACTTGATCCTCTTAATTGATGTCGAACTCTTCAAATTCTATTCAGTTATTACATAACACATCTTATCAAGTTTTTAATTCCATGAATCCTTCATTATCTCTAAAATGATCACACAGTTTAACTTATCTGTCTCTGAAATTCACTCAACTATTACACCAACCATCCCTAATGTTTCCTTCATTTTAACACCAAATAACCTCTGACCTGTTCTTGCATATATATAGTGCAAGTAGACATTTGAGCAGTAGAGTGTAGAGTGAAGTTGGAGCAAACTTTACAATTGTCATCTGTGAATATCTTCACATTAAATATCTAATCAATAAGAATAAGGAAAGACATGCTGTCTTTGTGCGGTTAAGTCGTTTTTTACGTTCTCGTTTCCCTTTGACTCTTTTGATTGTTGTTTTATACTACTACTTATTAATATTCAGTAAGTGGTTGTATACCTAGCAATTTTCACGACAATGTTGTCAAACAAGCTTGTCGAGTAATATTCGGAGAAATTTACATAGCACGTTTTAAACGCTAGAATTGCTCCATAACATGGTTAGTGTACTTCTGGGATAATCGTCAAGAAACGACAGTCTGTGATGTACAAGGTACAAATAGGAAGAGAGTTTTAATTTCATCTGGAGTTTGGTCAAAAGTTCTGTTGTTTTAAGCAGCTTCAAATAATCGACTGTTTTCAAAATTGAATTGATTCTGCGAACAATATTGAAATGCGTTTGTTAGTTAGCTTTGTGTGGTCATCTCCCAACATCGACATATGCTTCGGTGTATGCTAATTACATCAACAGCTATAAGTAGTATGTGACACACCAATCAACAGTGAAATGACTGGTAGTAGAATGATGAGAAGATCGAATAGAAGAGAACAGGAATGTTAACAAAGAATCATCACAATCTCGTTAGGAATGAGGGAACAATGAAGATTGTACAAAACAAATGATGAAAGTTGTGCAAATCAAGTGATTAATGTGCGATTTGTATATTTGACAAAGACATTGTAATTTTGTATAAGGTAGTGTATTGGTTTGCCCATCTGATTGTTCAATTACTACAAGCCTACTGAGTCACAATTACTGATGTGATTCCATTCATGTATGTATGATGTTTTCAAGTAGTCAATGAAAATATATCAGTTTGAGTGGAGGTTGATCGTGAACAGAATTATTCATTAGAATGTGTTGTGGTGGTTCCCAACAAAAGCAGCTTATACAAGATATATAGATACACTAGGTTAATAATAATATCCCAAGAGAGTTGACAGTAAAAGCCCTAAGTGTCTGTCTGCGTGTAAAACCAAGGGTAACAAAATACAGTTAGGATACAAATGGTATATTAAACAAACAGATAATAACAGTTATTATGGAATGAATGTTACTTGTAAGCTGCCTCATGAGACAACAACCACAAATTAAGTTCACTTGACTGACGAAAATTATTTTGCAAGTGATCGCACCAACGCCGTAATGAGAAAGACAGAGTTCAACATTATTATATAATTATGATCCGTGCCAAAAGTTCAACGTAGTGTCGGAAGGCCTAAAAGGATGTTGTAACACTATTATAGTTTTCAAACAAAACTGTGGCCAATAAAGCAGAAGAACATGCTTGTTCCTTCATCACATTTCATGTAAGCAAATCCACCACAAGATTTCTCATATATGAAAGGCTTGAAAAGAAATTCGTCCATAACGATTACTTTCGATATTTCCGAATTTACCAATCTCTTTGTTTGTTTTATCAAGTTGTATAAGTAAACAATGCGTTTGACTAGGTGTCTTTATCGAAACCTCCACATCAATCATTTACTAGCTACACTCTCATGAACATACAACCAGGTTGGATTCACAACTGTTCACTACAATGTAATCATACCTGATCGTAGTTAGTGATAGAGTTTTTCTATCGATAATTCGGAAAGCTTTCCCTGGGTAGAATGGTCAGTTTTAGTGTAAAGAATTTTCTGTCTGGGATATCTGAAAGGAGCGAATATTCCAACTGAGAATTACAAGTAAAATCTACAATAGTCATTGCTATCTAGTCACAACAATATCAATGAAGTAGTGTGATAAAAATAAACGATCCAGAATCATTATATCATAACGAAGAATAAGTGAATGACAACTGCATGGACTCATCTATGAACTGTTGTTACATATATATATTCTTATTGTATAACTATGAAGTACATATTTATATTCTCTTCTTATTGGCTTCATTTGGCCTATTTTTTACTCTTATACAACTCCGTATTCTTAGGTTAATCCCAATCTATCGGTTACGGTGTCTCTCAATCACACAGTCACTTTTCACCTGAACTTGTATAATTGTCACTTGCTACTTTATGGCACAATGCTGTCTGATGTGCCTGTAAACAAACTGCATATGACTGATATACATGATGCAAACAGTGGAAGCTGACTTTGTGTTCTAAACTAAACGGACAGAGTAGGACGAGAACAACCAATACGGACTGTCAGCTGATTCTAGGCTGTTCGTAATGGTTAACGCGCCATGGGTTTGGCACATTGACAAGATCATGCAAATCCGAATTCTAATTGTCTATCTTGTCCGGTGACATTTGACTGAGTTTATGACATAACATATCAGATATTATATGTGGATTATCTGACCTATTAGAACATCTGTTGGCCTCATCAGTGCATATCACATAGTGAATATGTAAAGGAGATTTCCACTGAAACACTTTCTCTGTGAAGCTAAAAGCTAAACAATTCTTTCTTATTTAAACACGTTGTGAACACAATCATTATCCATGCCACATGCACTGACACTAACACGCAGATGTCGATTTCGAATCAACTATACCGTTGTTTGTCAGCAAATATTCCACAATTTCACAATTTCATCCTGATCAAAAAACAGTGTGAATTGCATATGTATGATCTGGAAACGGCGTTTACCTAGCTATAACCAAGCACAGTTCAACATAATAAGTGCGTATCAGTGTAGAATATTTATATCGGTTTCCGATTGGTTTACAGGGAACAAAGGACCGACATCAATGGAACTGTCAAGGCAACATTGCACGTTACACAATCTTAATACAAATATAATGAAATCAGTCGATTAACACTGTTGATCGCAGCTAGAATCAAGTGGGATTTGTCTGAAATTAGCTGCTCATTTTCACGCTATCATAACATTGACACGGTTGTGTGAGGAGCTCAGAAATATCATCAAATGTGTTCAGTAGCAACTCTCGAACATAACAGATCATTCAGTTATCCATCCAGATGGAATTCAAACTCTGTTAACACATGAATTATTTCCTATATTCATCTCCATTTTCACCTTAACCTTTTATCACTCTTATTAGTATTACTATTATTATCTTTATTATTTCTATTGTCCTTATTGTTTTTGTTGTTTGGTGAACTCCTTCACACAAACATGTACTTCTTCCCATCTGCTTCCCTCATATTCTGGTTCACACGTCCTTTCCCTTATATAAACATGTTTATTGTTATTGTGGTAAATAAGACATTTATTGTCGTCATCATCATCTTATTCTATTCAAAATATAATTCACGGTTTGTTTATCAGTGTTACACTCAGTGTTTATTTACAATAACACACTGTGAAATTCAACCAACAACATGGTCTCGCAATCACTTACACAACGCGATTAAGTTTCTTCACCGATCTCATCACCTTCTCGTGTTCATCATTGCCTCATCATTACCACATTCTCATCATTGAATGGAACTGTACACATTCACCATTGGCTGAATCATCACTTATCAGTACAACACAGAACAATAATATGGGGTATACTGATTAAGACATCAATGAAATGGCATAATGAATTATCATGTGATTGCAGTGCACGATGAAATCAACATACTGATACTTCCATTGGTTATTTATCGTGATTACAAACAACAGCAAAACAGTCGTTCTTTCTGCACATAGAATAAATAAAACTTGCATTATCCACTTCAATAATACATATTCAATTAAAAGCTTTCACTCTCCTGACAACTTAATCTCTCGAATCTCTATCTATCAATAATAACTGCTTCGATCTAGTCTGATGAGCTGATTCAATACTCATTATAAATATCTCATTTTATATCACTTACTACTTAACATACTCTCCATACCATATGAAACTCGTGAATGTTCAGTTCGCACATTCAACTCCACAAAGGCAAACAAAACAATTAACATATTTGTCGAGTCCACATTTATTCAGCCAAGAATGCATCTTCAAGCAGATATATACTTGTTATGACATACGATATGATATGGAACAACTAATAGTTGTGTCGAAGTTAGTGTGATAGACAATGTGAGAATGAGAAGGAACAACGCCTGAATATGCTATTCATTACATCTAAACAAACATTCAAACTCCACAATGAAATCTCAATTATCTAATGCAGGCATTGCAATGACATGATTGCATCAATCAATAAACTCAGTGTATTCAGTGTGTGGATGTGCTCGAGAATATTGTCGAACAAAACAGATATCATAATGCTAGCGCATATGAAAGTTATGGATAACCAATGGACTACTGAATACTGACGAGTAGTGTAGAGTAATATACAAAACTCTAGTCGAAGAAGATCCACAATGTACGGAATACAACGAACTCAATTGAACACATATCCATCCCAAACATCAAATATTCCATCGCATGATTATTCATATTCACATAATGTCAACGAAAATGAAGGTTGAAATCTTTCAGAGGGATACTTAATTGCAGAAGAAATACGATCCACATTGAGTGAAATGAACTTGACAAAATGTTCCATTCAAGCAATTTGTCTCATTTTATACAATTTTTCTTGGTTCAAGGATTCTGCAAGTCCAAGTGTTCGCCTCATTCAATTCGGTGACACAATCGAAGAATGTAGTATGTTTTGACTTGTCTAATGACAGTCCACTCAACGTGGACTGTATTTGACTGTATTTCAGAACTGATTTGCTTCTCCTAATAATAACATATACTGTGGTCTGTGCTACTTATGTCGACATGAGTAGCATGTAACGATAGTCGGGATTAGAATGTCTGGCAGCAGAAGTTTGACAAGGAAAGAACGTGAACAGAAAGCAATTGGTATGAAGATGTAGGAACAATGAAGTCTGAGACGATTGATTGATATATTGCACTTCAATGTTTTATTTCTTCGCACTACTGACAACCATGTTCATTTGTTGAGTGTTCGATTTCCCATCTTGTGAATATGGAAACGACAAGTCGGAATTCCATATCACTAATGTCTCGGATAAAATTATTACTTTGTTTATCTTCATCATGAACAGCAGGAAAGAATGAGTGGATAGATGGAAGCACATGAATTTTCGTCAATAAATATAGCACATTGCATTCCCTTCCACTCCTTCAAATATACTCCAATCTCTCTATCTGTATGTGTCTTATACTAAAGAGGTGAACGAACTGAATACCCGGAAAACGCTTCAATTTATCGATAAGTATCAATATTCACATTTTCTGACTCTATGTAGTGGATCATCCGTCAAGTGTTCAACCAACATCCAAGAACTCATTGAAGTCTTTAAACTTCAAAACACTTATCTCAAATCATTCAGTCTCAGTGAGTTCAATAAATAACTTTCATTCAAACACGCTTTCAATGAGAGTTTTGTCAGTTGATCATATTCAGTTATGAACTGTGAGCGAATTCGAATCCACTTACCAGTTTGACGAAACCACAACATGAATGTACATACGATACACCAGTGATTCGTATGTTCTCTCCTAAGACTACTGAAATAGATGACACTCACTGTGTCAAATATGATGTATGTGTTATTGATTACTCAGTCCACTGATATTGTTGCCTAGTTTATGTGATATTTATTAGTCTAATTAGTGATTAGAAGTGATCATTCCAGTGGTTACATCAATTTAGATTCAGTCATGCAGTTTAAGTTGCATAGTCTTCAAATGATCATTCCATTCACACTTGTATATGCATTAAGTATAGATAACATGAAAATGATTGAGATCTGGACAGTAGATGTAAACACGTAGCACAAATCAGAAATGACGATTATGCAATACAGTTGAGATCCGAGAAATCGAAAAGTTCGAACGTTTTCGGTTAACCGATTCTGGACATTATAAGAATGATCGTTCGACTAGAATATACATCTGCGATCATCCACCGAATGACCACATTGACTTTTCAGTCCTGTCCATCCTTTCATGTCAATGATGATTTGCCACAAACAATTGTGACCAATTTCATGATTTGCAATATGTAAACAGTAAGCTAACACTGAACAATTTGTAATCAGTGATAATAGATTAGAAATTACACTACAATCTTAATATTGTTCTGAAACATGAGTTCATTTCAAGAGATTCTCCATTCTATCATCATCTCTACTCTGATTGTTTTACAAAGTAAATACACTCGTTTCACAGTTTACTTCATTCATCAGATTATTGCAAAGTATGTGGACAGTGACATCAACTTCGCAAACTTCATCAATTGATCATCACTGTACTCAGTCTATTTTCGATAAGATTTAGACACTCCTCTATTCATCATTGCTTGGTATTATTATCCATGAAAGAAAACACGATCTAATCATTTTATCAATTACAATGCATAGGATTGTCATTTGGATTATTAGAAGTCAACTGTCAAGTTTCTTTTACATTGTTCTTATTGGCTTCTCTTCCATTCTTTCACTTATTGATTTATACTACTTATTTATATTCAGTAGATCCTATGCACTAATCTTAGTCATCCAGTGTGGAAATTCTGCACAACGAATATTCAGTCACCATGAATAATCATCCTGTTCCAACTTGTTTCACTGAATTATATTCCATTATAAGACCATTGAAATAGTTGTCACTGTACTCAGTCTATTTTCGATAAGATTTAGACACTCCTCTATTCATCATTGCTTGGTATTTATTCAAATACGCATACTGAATGTACACTGTACTGTACACTGTACAGTTATGCCTAGTCCATAGTATCAATATTTCCGACATTTGTTTAATAAGTCTATAATTCATGTATTGTAGTGCGCGTTTCAGTTCTCAGTGTCCTAACTACAAATCGTAATTATACTGTTGAGCAAATGTAGTTTACATCGATCATCAGCACAACACATCCTTGATTGACATTTGTAAATGAGTCTGTTTAGAAGAAATTTCACCACGAAGTGTTAAATTGGATAAAGAAATATTTATCAGTGTTGCAGACGCGAACAAAGTGGACACAAGTAAGGCGAGATTCGCAAGCTGGCAATCTGGTCTGGATCATTGTAGATACTTATGTACCACATATCTGGCTTAAAAGTCTGGTGGTAAGTGTTGAACCAGAAGAAAATTGTCTCGTCGGACAAGCGAATATAAGAACATCGAAATGCATAATCACTAGAGAAATACGTAGAATTTGCTTATTCGAAGGAGTAGACGACTGAGTATTATAGTGTGGAACGACTTTCCAGAGTGACTGCGACTAGAGCAAATTGTACCATTGTCATCTGTGAATGTCTTCACACTAAACATCTAATCAGTGAGAGTAAGGAAGGACATGCTGTAATTGGTGGTCGGTATTAAGCTTGTTTTACATAGTTCTTACTCGTTTCTCGTCCACTCAGTTGCGTTTTGTTTTGTACTACTTATTTACATTTAGTAAATAGTTGTATTGCCAGCAATTTTTGCACCCAGGTTGTAACACAAGTTGTTGTGCAATATTCTCAATTATCTACATATACTTATAACGTTTATTGTATTTATCATTATGATTACTTTGGCTTAATCACTGTAGCAGTTATCCACAGTTTTGTGTATCTGTTTAAACACAACGGTCTCCATATTGTTTAGCTGATGGTTCGGGTTTTGCTTGTTGATATACTGTCACTAAATTTAGACACAACTATCAGCTGTCCATTGCACTGTCGTATGTTGTCATTATTCCTAATGGTACCATTATAGGAAGGCTTTTTCATTTTATACAAAGGACGCGTTAAATGCCGCACACACCTCATAAGTTGAGGTTTGCAACTAATTCATGTGTATTATTCAATAAACGACTGCTATTTTACACAAATGGTTGTTTTGCGAACATCACTTTTGCGTGAATCTCAATCGGGTGACCTGGATGCTTCGACAGACCTAACATCAACATTCGGTGTTCAGTGGTTTACTTGAAAGAACAACACTTGGTAAACAACAAATGAATAGTTTATTGACATTTACTTACAGAATGTCTGACATAATGAAGTACATTTCTGTACAGTACAATACAGTACAGTAGTCAGTAGACGAATGAACAAAACACATTCACAAGTTTCATTGAATGTACAATGGATTAAGAATGAAAGATAAAGAAGAAGAAGAAGAAGAGGATGAAGATTATCAAAGGGAAAATGGTTTGAAAGCGTTACCGATGTACATAGATAATTGATTTACATTATTCCAAACTAAATACCTACCTTACAGTGTGAACATGTCCACTCACTTACCACAAAGATCCTTACTTATTCATGCTTAATAGTCTACAGTTTAGTGATTCGAGGAACATCAGATATGTCAAGCGGTTTTCGAAACATTTTAGTGAAGAGAAATACTTCGAAGATAGAACTTCAAACATTCTGGTTGTTGATGTAATGAAGAATTTTGTTAGTCAAAGCTTTGTAAAATTTCTCATGTTCCGAGAATGTTTACTGTGACTTCAAGTACACACACACACACAAACACTGTTACAGAACTTATTTCACTCGTAAACTTCATTTAACATGTTTCTGTAAGATCCGTCCACTGTTGTTTACTGATTGATTGACTAACTGACGGACTAACTCACTCACTCACTGACTAATTGACAGATTGATATTTCTATGAACAGTGAACACACAGTGCATTTATCAGTATTAATTAGCTAAGATCTACCGATCAATTTTGCATGGATACACTTGCTTCTTTCGTCATGCCAACTACATATCTCCAAATGACATATGTCATTTCAGTTGACCGAATAAATCAACACAATCACCCATAATTATATAAACCATAATAATAATAATGATACTGAACAGAATTATGAATATTCGAAGTATTCCTGATCATCATCATCATCACATCATCATCATCCAAATCATCATCATCATCATCATCATCATCCAAATCATCATCATCATCCAAATCATCATCATCATCCAAATCATCATCATCATCCAAATCATCATCATCATCCAAATCATCATCATCATCATCATCATCATCATCATCATCATCATCATCATCATCATCATCATCATCATCATCATCATCATCATCATCATCATCATCATCATCATCATCATCATCATCATCATCATCATCCAAATCATCATCATCATCATCATCCAAATCATCATCATCATCATCATCATCATCATCATCATCATCATCATCATCCAAATCATCATCATCATCCAAATCATCATCATCATCATCATCATCATCATCATCATCATCATCATCATCATCATCATCATCATCATCATCATCATCATCATCATCATCATCATCATCATCATCATCATCATCATCATCATCCAAATCATCATCATCATCATCCAAATCATCATCATCATCATATTATTATTATTATTATTATTAGAACCATGATCATACAACAGCATACTCTTCCTCCAGTCATATGCTTAGTTGAATTCATATTAATGCTAGCGTTTTCAATAAAGTCAGAATATAGTTCGCACAATTTCGGTTTGAGCTGTAAATAAGGAAAAGTTTGAAATGTAACGTATATCTACAATTCATACATTAAATGGTTGATGGATGTAGCATTTCATCGAATAACAACAACAACATCATCATTAGTAATAATAATAAGAAGAAGAATAACAAGCAGAAGAAGAAGACGAAGAAGAAGAAGAAGAAGACGAAGAAGAGAAAGAATGCAGATGAAGACAACTAGTTTAGCAGCAGCAACAGCAGCAGCAATAGCAGCGGCAGCAACAGTAGGCCTCAATACACACAACAGAAGAAGCAAGATCTTCAATGACAACACGGAGGACACCAACTCAATCACACTTGATGGCAAAACTCTGGAAGATGTGAAATCTTTCAATGTACATGAGAAGCATCATCACTAAACATTTCATTGAAACGTCAATTACACTCAGACTACGAACGTTTCTTATCATCTACCAATAACAATATGTTCTTATCGAACACAATATTATTGATTTTGAGATTAATCGGTGATAATCAATTCGCCTGCAATTATATATCAATTCGATATTTACATGTTTAGTAAAGGTAAAACGTTTCTTAAACTTACAATTACATAGGTGTATAGATTACACTGAGGATAAGATTGGCATTCAGTAAAGCAATTTGATTTCGTTCTGACTGTCTTCAACCAGTGATTTTGTAAAAATGTCTGATTTGGTCGTCTCAATCTACTTATCCATTGTGAATAGTTACAATGCATAGTTGTATTACATTTCGGGCACTGCTCACATAGGGATAACAATGTAAAATCATCTGTCACATTTGTTTGTATGTGAGAACAATATGAAAGATAAATTGAAATGTATACAGTGATAATGAACGAATGTTCAATCATTTGATGTAACATGATTGACATAAGAAATGAAGTATTTTGTCGACTATAACAACTGCTGTCACTGTTGTTTATATAATAATGGAGATGAATCAATTGATTGGTGGAATTTCCCATATCCACAAATTGACCAATTGGCTGGCTACTCATTAGAAATCAATAATTTCTAACCAGTTGGATGCATGTCAATTCATTCATTTCAACAGTGTTAAATCATGTTCTTCTCAGGTTGTCAGAAAACTACACTTCAGTGTATCATGAAGTTGGTTTTATTCACTTCATCGTATTTCTTCGTATATCGTTGTGTTGAACAATACCATCAATTCATAACCGTAGTCGGATTACTCTTAAGTAATTCTACACTTTCACAAGTTACATTGAATAAATCGAACACTAATTACACCCAGTCTCAACTTATTCACATACGAGTCAAGTCGATTAAAACTAGTGTAAATCACAATTAGCATTTGAATATAATTTTCTGAATAGATTGTAACTATCAAGTAACTAATTTCACTGTCATTCAATCGAATCAATTATGTGTATAAGATGATTGAAATAAATAGATGTAACTTGAATTTGTTCATGAATAATCAAAGCATTCACTTTATTCTCTATAAAGGTAATGACTGATGTAACTTGTATAAGTGGTCTAAATAGAAATAAGTGAATGATTCTAAATCACAGTTTATTCACATTATTTATATTCACTTGTGTTAATGTCAGGCACAATTGAAGTGACACACAACTAAAACATCATCAAAATTTGTAGGAGCTAATCAATATGAACAGATTTGTGAAAATTGACAAAGAGTGATTTGAGCAAATAGAGATAGAAATGAATTAATACGATATCATCTATAAAGCTTCAAGTGAACATGCGAAGGTCAATAAAGGTCAAACAACAGTTTGTACTAGTCTGTAATACTAAGTCATCATGCAGTTGTACATTTGATTAGGTGTTTATGATTAAAGTGAATAATGGTCATCAAGAATCATGACGTGTACAGACGTTATCAAACCTCGAATACTTGCGTAATCTTTACACCTAGTGATATTTGACATTCATTGAACCTGATGGGTTTTCTCCTTTACACACCTTCAGTAAGTTTTCCTGTGAAAATCGAATTATTATGGAAAGAATCTATCCGTGTAAATGTATAGTCATTATCAGTATCATAAATAATCATACTTGAACGTTTATGATTAATGGAGCCGTGAATTGTTAAATATCATTAAAGTTAAATGATGCCCTTGATGAATCAAATCTTCGTTTAAAATTCTGATATTAATAATCAGTTCAACTAATAATGATGAACTTATCACAACTCAACTAGAATTCTTTAATAAAGCTGTAATGTTACTTGGTTACTTCATATTCCACCTTTCAGTTGATGGAGATTATATCAATTTCGCTTGGTAAACATTAATTGCTTAGATTGAGGACATACTTCATGGTTGATCCTGACGACAAATATTGAGTGGTCGCCAGCTAAAAGTTAGCAGTTCAGGAATCGACATTCAAATAATGAAAATTCATTTTGCTGCATAATGCCAGCAACCACAATGTCTCTGATTGGGCACTTTGCGGAAGGCAAGGTAAAAACGGTAATCCCTTTCAAATCTGTCCGCCGTTTCGTTTCAACGACCTTGAACGCGCTGACTGGAAGCGGGCATTCCGTATTTCAATTGCCGTGTGTGTGTTGGGTCCTATGAGTATTAAATGTTTCCATATATAAGTCATCTTTTGATGCATAATAAACACTAAATAACTGCTAAGAGCATTAACTGAGTATTTTCTGTTTTGTAGTGCACACTTTAGCTCTGTTATTCCTTCGAAACTTGATCTGTGGTCCTAAGTGCTGTAGTGAAAGTCAACAGCTATATATAATTTGTTGATAAGGCCCAGAAAACAACGTAAGAAAGATAAAATAACGTAAAAGGTTATAGATGCGCATAGTTTTTGTGAGTTAAGACGAAATGTCAACTGAAGGGTAAGTCTTAAATATTTGTTGTTCTTCCTTCAGTTAACTTTTTCAAGGAATAACCTTTTTTTAATAGCTATTGTATGTTGTCTCTAGTGCTTCATGCTCAAGTGAAATTTCAGTGAACGTAAGCGACGCGTTCCAACGTATTATGCTGAATAAGAGATTCGAAAGCTGGATTGAATTAGATAATGCACTAAAGGATTTCCATAAAGTATGATGGGATAAATCTGTTTTCTCAGATGACCCATACACACTATGTTCACGCAGAAAGTAGATTGTTGAAGGATGTGAGATATAAATACTTGTTCGTAGTGTTTCGTTGCACGTTTGGTCGTAAACGTAAATCAGAAGGTCTGAATGTGAATAAAAAACCGTGAGGACTCTAACTAATGTGTTACATTTAAGGTCTAAATTTTTAAATTGCCAATCGATGTTTCGCGTAAGATTGGAGGGTCAACAATACGTTATAAAATCTTACAACATGACTCACAACCATCCGTGTACTAGTTCGTGGATGGTTTGTGATCCGTTGAGTAGACGATTGTCATCAGAAGAAAAAGAAAACTTGAAACCAGTTATATTGCACTGTCAGTCGACGGACGAAGTTATCGAAAGTATTAAGGAAAGAACAGGTAAGCAGGTGACCGCTGCTGATGTCAAAAATATGAAAGCTGAACTCTCCACTGGTAAGTGTATATAAATATATTTCAGGTTGGACTCGGAAGCAGTTAATTACACTTTTGAATACAATGGTTTTCTTAGTAATTTGATGAATGTTTCAAATTTTTCTACTCTACCAGCCTTAGTTACCAACAGATACGGCTGTACAATCAATATCCCGAAGTCATGTGTATTGATTCTACTTATAAAACTAATAATAAAAAGTGAATATGATTTTCGTTTTGTTCTACTATGTAGATATTCATTATTCCAGTTAGTGGTAACAGACAATTGGGGTCGAGGTCGAACTGTTATGTTTGCATGGACAAAAAAAGAAAAGCGTGCTGATGTTACGTGGATTTTGGATAAATTCAAGGAGATAATGGGTAACACGACCAAAACAGAAACATTTGTGATGGATTGCGCACGATCTGAAAGCGCGGCTGTCTGAGTAACATCATTTTACACATCTGCCATTTTAACTTGCACAAACAATTTCAATGTTACATACACATTCAATAAAATGAGGACTGATCAATGGTTGGTTACATAAAATTTCTTTTAGAACAAATGATAAAATACTAAAAACCTACTTTACTCGACTGGTAACCGCGGAAACGGTCGGAAGGTAATTTTTTAATGTATTTATTCACTAGATTTAATCAATATTACAGAATAATAAACCGCAGAGACAGAGTGATAGGCCAGTACCTATCACGTTTCTGGATGCCAAGTAAAACAATGTGGGCGCGTGCCTTTTACGGCAGTGTATTAACTTTGGGTAACAACACGAATAATCGTGTTGAGTCATTAAATAGGCAGATAAAAAGATATGTACGCAAAATTGATGTATCTGTTTTTCAGAAATATCACTTTACAAATAAACTTCTTATAACTTTGTGCATAAACATGTGAATATAAAATGACATATGGGTCGAGTAACTAACTCAACCAGCATCTTATACCCTTGCTGAACATGTTGACCCCATTCGCAAGATCCAAGGTGTTATACGAATTTCAACAACTTTTCGTCAACTTTGAATAGTGGAAGCAGATCGTAGAAATGGTTCAACGTGTTACAGCAATCTACCACCACAACATATTCGAAGAGATGTAAGTATTTGTTAATGCAATTGTAGCACGTTTAATATGTGTCGATATCCGTGCCGCCATCTCCTGCTGGCATATATTAAAAGACGAAATCTAACAGGTAAGCTATTTAAATTATAAAATATAAACTGCATAGCTAATCAACTTCTTAGGTGTTACTGCAGATGGAAATTAGACAATACGCACAATTTACAAAACAACACAGGAATTTCATTACCGGCGCGAGTAAAGAATATATACAACTTCAACGGCTCAAAGAATGTGCAAACAACG